CTGTTCGAGGTTCCACATCATTGTCATATGTACATTCATTGCATTTAGTCTGTTCGAGGTTCCACATCATTGTCATATGTACATTCATTGCATTTGGCGTGTTCGAGGTTCCACATCATTGTCATATGTACATGCATTGTATTTGGCGTGTTTGAGGTTCCACATCATTGTCATATGTACATCCATTGTATTTGGCCTGTTTGAGGTTCCACATCATTGCATATGTACATTCATTGTATTTGGCCTGTTTGAGGTTCCACATCATTGTCATATGTACATCCATTGTATTTGGCCTGTTTGAGGTTCCACATCATTGTCATATGTACATTCATTGTATTTGGCGTGTGTGAGGTTCCACATCATTGCCATATGTACATTCATTGTATTTGGCCTGTTTGAGGTTCCACATCATTGTCATATGTACATTCATTGTATTTAGTCTGTTTGAGGTTCCACATCATTCTCATATGTACATTCATTGCATTTGGCCTGTTGGAGGTTCCACATCATTGTCATATGTACATTCATTGCTTTTAGTCTGTTTGAGGTTCCACATCATTGTCATATGTACATTCATTGCATTTGGCCTGTTGGAGGTTCCACATCATTGTCATATGTACATTCATTGTATTTGGCCTGTTTGAGGTTCCACATCATTGTCATATGTACATCCATTGCTTTTAGTCTGTTTGAGGTTCCACATCATTGTCATATGTACATTCATTGCATTTGGCCTGTTGGAGGTTCCACATCATTGTCATATGTACATTCATTGCATTTGGCCTGTTTGAGGTTCCACATCATTGTCATATGTACATTCATTGTATTTAGTCTGTTTGAGGTTCCACATCATTCTCATATGTACATTCATTGCATTTGGCCTGTTGGAGGTTCCACATCATTGTCATATGTACATTCATTGCTTTTTATTGCATTTGGCCTGTTTGAGGTTCCACATCATTGTCATATGTACATTCATTGCATTTAGTCTGTTTGAGGTCTCCACATCGATGTCATATGCAAGACATTCATTGCATTTACAGCCTGTTTGAGGTTCCAGCATCATTGTCATATGTACATTCATTGTATTTAGTCTGTTTGAGGTTCCACATCATTGTCATATGTACATTCATTGCATTTAGCCTGTTCGAGGTTCCACATCATTGTCATATGTACATTCATTGTATTTTAGTCTGTTTGAGGTTCCACATCATTGTCATATGTACATTCATTGCATTTGGCCTGTTGGAGGTTCCACATCATTGTCATATGTACATTCATTGCATTTGGCCTGTTTGAGGTTCCACATCATTGTCATATGTACATTCATTGCATTTAGTCTGTTTGAGGTTCCACATCATTTAATCATATGTACGTTCATTTGCATTTGGCCTGTTTTGAGGGTTCCACATCATTTGTCATATGTACATGCATTGCATTTGGCCTGAGGGTTCCACATCATTGTCATATGTACATTCATTGCATTTAGTCTGTTCGAGGGTTCCACATCATTGCCATATGTGCATTCATTGCATTTGGCCTGTTTGAGGTTCCACATCATTGTCATATGTACATTCATTTGCATTTGGCCTGTTCGAGGTTCCACATCATTGTCATGTGTGCATTCATTGCATTTAGCCTGTTCGAGGTTCCACATCATTGTCATATGTACATTCATTGCATTTAGTCTGTTCGAGGGTTCCACATCATTGTCATATGTACATTCATTGCATTTGGCGTGTTCGAGGAGTTCCACATCATTGTCATATGTACATGCATTGTATTTGGCGTGTTGAGGGTTCCACATCATTGTCATATGTACATCCATTGTATTTGGCCTGTTTGAGGTTCCACATCATTGCATATGTACATTCATTGTATTTGGCCTGTTTGAGGTTCCACATCATTGTCATATGTACATCCATTGTATTTGGCCTGTTTGAGGTTCCACATCATTGTCATATGTACATTCATTGTATTTGGCGTGTGTGAGGTTCCACATCATTGCCATATGTACATTCATTGTATTTGGCCTGTTTGAGGTTCCACATCATTGTCATATGTACATTCATTGTATTTAGTCTGTTTGAGGTTCCACATCATTCTCATATGTACATTCATTGCATTTGGCCTGTTGGAGGTTCCACATCATTGTCATATGTACATTCATTGCTTTTAGTCTGTTTGAGGTTCCACATCATTGTCATATGTACATTCATTGCATTTGGCCTGTTGGAGGTTCCACATCATTGTCATATGTACATTCATTTGTATTTGGCCTGTTTGAGGGTTCCACATCATTGTCATATGTACATCCATTGCTTTTTAGTCTGTTTGAGGTTCCACATCATTGTCATATGTACATTCATTGCATTTGGCCTGTTGGAGGTTCCACATCATTGTCATATGTACATTCATTGCATTTGGCCTGTTTGAGGTTCCACATCATTGTCATATGTACATTCATTGTATTTGGTCTGTTTGAGGTTCCACATCATTCTCATATGTACATTCATTGCATTTGGCCTGTTGGAGGTTCCACATCATTGTCATATGTACATTCATTGCTTTTAGTCTGTTTGAGGTTCCACATCATTGTCATATGTACATTCATTGCATTTGGCCTGTTTGAGGTTCCACATCATTGTCATATGTACATCCATTGTATTTGGCCTGTTTGAGGTTCCACATCATTGTCATATGTACATCCATTGTATTTAGTCTGTTCGGGGTTCCACATCATTGTCATATGTACATTCATTGTATTTAGTCTGTTCGAGGTTCCACATCATTGTCATATGTACATTCATTGTATTTGACGTGTTCCAGGTTCCACATCATTGTCATATGTACATTCATTGTATTTAGTCTGTTCGTGGTTCTACTACACTAGGTTATTGAATCAGATTTTATTTGATTGTTTGTTGTTTAACGCCACACTCATATTCTAGCTTTATGGCGTCGGTCTGTAAATAATTATCTGGCTCAGACAATACAGTGATCAGCAACATTTTATCGATCTACGCATATGGGATACGATGACATGTGTCCATCAATTCAGCGAGCCTGACCACACGATCCTGTTAGTTGCCTTTCGCTATTCTTTTTTTTCATTTTAATTATCAATATTCTTTATTTAAATAAATATAACACTATTGAAAGTCTATGGAAAACGTTTGGTTATGGGAAACGTTAAGTTCCGACGATGTCTCTGGGTGTATTTCGTATTAGAATCGAACCGAACCAACGTTTACTCATCGTACTTAAAAGATCGGTTGATCATGCTTGCCGACTTGGCTAATGGAGTGTCACCGTACCAAGACGGCGCAAATGGTTGTATATTTCAATCTGGTTGTCTGGTCAGGGCCTAGATTTTCGCAGTTCTCTTCGCGCTAAGATAGTCGTAAGTGACATTCATTAACATTAGCTTACGACTATCTTAGAGCTAAGACAGCTTCGAAAATCTAGGCCTAGGACTCGAAGTATCTACTGAACGCAGCCATGAAGCTGGAACTTTGCTGAGTGAGGTGGGAAACAAAAAACATACAAATCCAAGGAGGAAACGCACAAACTTCACATTTGCCTGAGCTTGAACCAACACTCATGGGTACTTTTCTTTACAATCCACCCAATATGAAAGTGTATTGTTCATAAAACGATCCGGATAAAGGAAGACCGTGAACGTCTACAGTTTGTCCTACAACACCAAAACTAGCGATACAGACAATGGAGAACTGTTCTGTTCACAGATGAGAGTCGGTACTGCGTATCAACTGGAGATGGCAGAACACGAATATGGTGACGACGTGGCCAGCGTTACTCAGACCAATGTGTTATAGAAAGAGACTCATGGGGAGGTGAAGCATCATGGCAGGGGGTGGAATAGGCCTGAACCAGAGAGTGGGTCTTGTGGTGTTCCAGAACCTTCGTCCAGGAAGGGTCGCGGCATCACAACGGTGCGCTACATCGACCAAGCTCACAGACCCCACGTGATACCACATTTCGCACGTCACCGGAACAACATTTTCCAGCATGATAACGCCCGGGCCCATACTGCTAGAACTACACGGGACTTCCTACAGCAGAACGGTGTCAACATTATGCTGTGACCAGCCCTTAGTCCTGATTTAAACCCAATTGAACATCTTTGGGATGGAATGCAGAGGAGACTAAATAATGTCATACCAAGGCCGAACACAACCTATTTATCAAGCCAGGCCTTTCTCAGAGTGTGTTTCCAGGTGCCAATGGCCTTCATCAATCGATTGGTGCACTCCAAGCATAGACGCTGCAGTTATTGCCGCTCGTGGTGGTCACACTAGATACCGAAGTCAAGAGTCTGAATGGACTGCAAACGTTCACGTAATGTCTTGAAATTGTGCTGAGTTATCCATTGATGTGTCCAGATATGGTACACCAAAAATGTTTTTGATCCGCTTGTTATGTCTATTTCTGTAATGATTTGATTACAGTGCCTATCTAATTTTAAATTCGTACTGACGGTTTTTTTTGCTGCTGAGTATATATCCGTATCCGCTATTGCTTCATACTGTTGTTGCAGATGAGACTGTACATTGTCGTGTTCACAGTCTGACATTTAAATCCAGATCTGCCTGTACTCGGACAACATTTAATGATGTAAGTATCCCCAACTGAAATAGGTCAGGCGTTCAGACCTCTGCCACTTAATCGTGACATTTCATTGCAGTGAACTGACGATTCTCCAAATAGCCAAACACTGACTCAGGCATTAAACATTTAGCACGTCCGGTACAAACATGGAAAGCTGTGTATCATTTGTTTCAAATTCTGTTCCTTATGATTTGACTTGTCCTCGCCTCAATGTAAAGTATAAACTGACATCCCCCTATCTGTCACTGTATCAGTGCTGACATCCCTCCATCTGTCTCTCTATCAGTGCTGACATCCTATATCTGACCGGCATAGTTACTGACGTTTAACTTCAAACAGACTTTAATGACCTACACCAGAGGGCCAATTATTTCCGGTCGGTCGTAACCTACATGTTGCAGCAATTGAAGGAAGTCAGACATGTACGGACGCTTTCTGCTGGTTCTGCTATTGGCCTTGGACCCTGTGCTATCGGAGGTGATGGTCTTGAACATGTTACCTCTATGTTTGTTCACACATGGTTAACGTGTCCTTCAACCGTTAAATGAGGATCAAGGAGTCTGGTGCGCCCTATACCACTTCCTTGACCAGTGAGATGGGGAATGCTTGATTAAACTACTAGCGACTTTCCTCCAAAGATGTAGCTGTTATTCAAAGCCAGTCATTTCAAGAAAGGTGTGCCTCCATCCGGCAAGTTTCTTCTTTAATGTGGGGAAATATTCCCTCTTCTCAAAATGTCACGTGTATAATTATTATTATAATAGCATATCTACCCTTCAGGTCACTTGGCAACCGTTCTCAGGCCAACTGCCCGGCCATGTCCAAATCCAAGCTGTGGAAATACGGGACGTTCCGAACAACGTCGGACGACAGGTTACCGTCACCTACAGCGCCATAGGCACTGCGCAGATTGTCTGGCACGTTAACGGAAAGGCTGTCATGAGTGAGTACCGTTATACATCAACTAAGGGATCCATCGGAAATAATTGTTCTCCTATTTTTAATAAGGGTTTGTTTTTTTAAATTGACACATGCTTACTTATTGTATCCATTAACCCTAAACATTCGGGAAAGAGTTCATTGTAGTGTACAATACTATCAGAGCTACTTTGTCTTGTGGTTAAGGGGTTAAGTCATGCCGGGTTTGATTTCCCACATCTGTACGACGTGTGAGGCCGATGTCTCGTGTCCCCAGACTTGATATTGCTGGAATATTTAAATAACGCCGTTCCATACTCACTCACTCACTACTACCATCTGGGTACAATGTGTGCAGCCCATTTCTTGTGACCCCCGCCGTGATATTGGTGGAATATTGCTAAAAGCGGCGTAACTCTAAAACCTCACTCACTACTGTTTCCAATCGAGCATATGTTCACGGGAAATAAGTAAATGTCTGACACCGGTTTGGTGACATCAGTCTAACACACATGCGAGTGTAACATTTTCTCTATTACCTATTATTCTGTGATCTTCTTGCGCATGTCACAAATGCTTGCTCAGAAAGTTACAGTTGGCGAATAACGTCAAAAATAATGTTTGGAATAGGCTCAGAAAGACGAATCTATGTAATATTTCATATTACATATAATGCATATTGTATTACAATGTTTGGAATTGGTACAGACATACGAACATATGTAACATTTCAGATTGCATGTATCGCATATTGTATAACCGTGCTTGGAATAGGTTCAGAAAGAATATATGTAACATTTTAGATTAAATTAGTACATACTCTGAAATGTTTAGAATGTGATCAGAATGACGAATCAATGTGGCATTGCGGACTACAAGTATCCAATATTCTATTTTAATGTTAGGCATAGATTTAGAAAGACGAATCTATGTAACATTTCAGATTACATTACCACATATGCTTTTACAATATTTGGAATAATCTCAGAAAGACGAATCTATGTAACGTTTCAAATTACATGTACTGCATATTGTATTACAGTTGAATGTTTGGAATTGGTACAGACAGACGAATCTATGTAACATTGCAGATTACATTACCACATATTCTGTAATGTTTCGAATAGGCTCAGAAAGACGAATCTATGTAACATTTCAGTGAGTGAGTGAGTGAGTGAGTGAGTATGGTTTTACGCTGCTTTTAGCAATATTCCAGCAATATCACAGCGGGGGACACCAGAAATGGGCTTCACAACTTGCACCCACGTGGGGAATCGAACCCGGGTCTTCGGCGTGACGAGCGAACGCTTTAATCACTAGGCTACCCCACCGCCCCTGTAACACTTCAGATAGCATAACATGTTTCGAATATGATCAGAACGATGAATATATGTGACATTTCAGATTACGACACCGACTTCCTCACAGTGTCCCGCCAAAACCTCGCGACTCTACACGTGATGCGTGTTGACACAAGCATGTCGGTGATGGCCTCCATTATCCTGCCGGTATATCAAGAAAGCGTGTATATCCGTGCGGGTGAGGCAGCTCCAGGCCGGTACACCATCTCCAACCACACCCTTCTCGTCACCCCGAAAGAGGCTGTCACGTATGCACCGGAGGACGTCGGGAACTTCCATGTCGATGCAGCTCTGTGGGTGGGCGACGAGTCATTGGCAAGGAATCTTCGCCTCCACAGCATGGTCCTCGTGCCTGACTACACCAGCCGCCCCGTCCGACCCCTCGTTGGTGTTTCATCGTCTCTGCCAACGATGATAGAGACGACGCGACCGCAAGACGGCGATAATTTTCTTGGTCGGACTGACTGGGCAGACGCCCTTTCGCCTGGCCAGAGGGTAGCAAACAGGGTCAACATTGTGTCCGTGCAACAATCTAAAGGGGCTCGGGGAATGCTCGCTATCAGCTCTACGTTCTCTCCCACAAACAGTCCCATCAAGTCAGTATACACCGTTCAGCGAACATTCTTCAAACCAGCCGTCGCTAACATGGAATTTATTCAAAGAAATACGGTAACCTTCTTCGGATGGCAGAAGGACGTCGTGGTGGACCAGCACGAGGATGCCGATCTCCACGTGTATGCCATAGGCAACCCAACACCCCGTATCATGCTTGCTAAGAATGGCGCTGACGTCGGCATGGGGGTAGATCGCTTGGACATTGAAGAGGCGTATTATAAACACACAATCTTCCGCTTCCGGAACGCAACCGTTGCTACTTCCGGTCGCTATATATGCACGGCTGAGAGCGGAAGTGGACGGCTCAAGCAGGCGTTTACGTTGTACGTACGTTCCTGTTAGCTCACTCGGTGTTGTGTACGTCATCACGGTTATTCCCCAGGCATCTGCTCCCACATACCGAACACTTGTATATCAAACTGAGGTTGAATATGTTTTATTCACAGTAAAATTTGAATTTAAAAAAAACGAAGTCGAGGAAGTAAAGGATTTGAAGCTTTGGTTTAATGGCCACTCCCAAATATGCCCCTGTTTCTTTCGAATTTCACTGCCAAATATCCCCAGTTATGCGGAAATTCTCCGTGAATATTTCATACAAAGAAACTTGCCATGGGTTGTAGTCTTTTTGTTTGTTCCTTAACACCGTACTCAGCAATATTCCAGTTATATGGCGGCTGTCTGGAAATAATCAAGTCTGGACCAGACAATCCAGTGATCAACAGCATGAGTATCGATCTACGCATTTGGGATACGATGACATGCTTCAAACAAGTCAGTGAGCCTGACCACCCGATCCTGTTAGTCGCATCTTACGACAAACATGACTGGCTGAAGACCAGTAAATTATTCTAACCCGGATCATCACGGGTTCATGGATTATAGACCGAGTGAGTACTAGCAAACTAGTGCAAGGCAAATTCTGTCATGACCTGGTTTAAGAGTCACCCGTTGTATATAATCCCACCCTTGTTTTTATTACTAAAAAACAAATACCTTCTTTTAAGTATACTAATTTTATAAACTACGTTAAATAATTAGGTCGCACGCCACAGTTTCCAACAGTTTGAAATTGGTGTGCATGAATGCGAATATTTACAGCTAAATTCGCAATCTTTGATAATTCACGTAATTGCACTTTTGTAAGTCGTCGAAGCGGTGGGGTAGCTTATAGTTAAAGCGTCCGCTGAAGACTCGGGTTCGATTCTCCACATAGATGCATTGCGTGAAGCCTATTTCTGGTGTTCCCAGCCGTGATCTTGCTGGAATATTGCTAAAAGCGGCGTAAAGCCACACTCACTCAATCGCTAAGTCGTCATGGTCCTAACTTTCACCTGTGATGGTCTATCTGACAACTGAGTGTATAATCTGCTATGTCTTGTTGCCCTCCACATCTATATTGTAATGATGATGTGGCGTGTGTTTGCTGGAGATTGCCGTGTACGTTTCATAACGTTGTGTACCGTCTTACTGGCAATAAAATGTGCTTCAATCGTTGGTGCTGGTTGTGCTTCAATCGTTGGTGCTGGTTGTGCTTTCAGCGTTGACTGAGCATACTGATGAGGATGAGCGAGCATCAGATGTCGACTATCACTACATCTACGCATTATCATATTTATTTTGTTTGCCGGCGCGTAGCAAGCCAAGTCTTTCGTGTAAGCCCGATAGGTTGCAAAGCTTTATATTTAGATAGTATTGAGGGCTTGACCAGCCAAGCAATCATGTGTAAGCCCGGGCTTTTTTTCATAATGGTAGCTACGCCCCTGGTTTGTTTGGTGTTTAACTCAGCAATATTCCAGCTATGTGGTGGCGGTTTGTAGATAATCGAATCTGGACGGTAGGTCTTGAGTTCGAGTCGGCGGTGAAAAAATTTATTATTTTTAGCCGGCGACCAAATTAGTGTCGGTCGGGTAATGAGAAACACAGAAATACAAAATGTTTCCCTTACAGAGACATTACACAGAGGACACTAACACGACATCTACCACAGTTGTGTTTCAACACGAATGATTTTGCAAATAAACCTGCTTATCTATCAGCTGCTGAGAAGGTTACCGGTGCATGAAGTATGTTGTCATGGTACATGTTTCATGTTTGTTTGAGCAAATAGAAAATAAACATGAAGTATAAGCTCAAAATATATATCAATGCCAGGCGGGATAGACAGGATTGTATCAAGATCACGTGAACCAGTCAGAATTCAACATTTCAACATTCTGACATGGAGGTACGATAAAATGTCTTCATCTCTTGATGCTAATGGTGAGAATATCATGCATCATTATATAAAATGGCTGTTCTTAAAATACATCTTAGTGTATATCGTTTAGCCTAAGCAGAACGTTCTTATACCTTCAAATAATAGGGCTGGCTATCGATATAGATCACAGAAATCGATAATTAAATAAATATCGATCGATTATCGATAAGTATAGGAAAAAGTGTCAGAGTTGTCAAAGAAAATGAGTATAGTTTTACGCCGCTTTTAGCAATATTCCAGCAATATTGCGGTGGGGAACACCAGAACTGGGCTACTGAAAGAGAATATGTGTCACATCACTGGTGGGTGGTGGTATGTTTTTGCATGGATTAGTAACAAAACAAACAAACAACGCCCTGAACATAATTTAGAAGCAAACCGTGAATAAAGTCCTAAATTTGTATATTGTGTGAGAAAATTAAAACTTTTCACCAATGCTATCGATCATTTTAGCCAGCCCTAAGCAAATATTACTTAATTGTATATTAGGTGTGTATTGCGAATAATTCATTGGTTACCTACCTGACTGGTTTATATACATTCTTAAAAAAGTAGGGGATCTTCAATTTTAAGTTACGACTGAAACTATGGGATATAAATCGGAGTCAATCAATGTTGATATGATAATAATGAATGTTTTGAGAGTGCATCACCACTTGCACTTCCTTATGACCATAGTTGTTTGTACAGTAATCTTTTTTGAAAGATAATTGGTGTATGACGTGAAATTTGCATGTATAAGATTGTCAAACGAAAAAAGAAACCCGGCCGGAAACAAACACTAACAACTGTGTGATGCAAGATGATTGTCAAAATTAATGGTCTACGGTGATTTATCGACCTTCTTGAAAACCGTCAAAATCAAGAATGACACCACATGCACGTGTATGGGGCTACTGCGTTATGCACGTGCATCCCATGCGTTGTGTTTAGGGGTGGTGATAAAGAGAAATGGCAGTGCGTTCATAAGATGTCTGTCTTTGAAAAGTTTGTGAACGCTTATACTTATTATCCAAATTGAAAGTTCAGGTTCCCCTAATTTAAGTATATTACGTGACTGATTTCTAAAATGTATTTAGTGTCTTTTATGCTAAAGTTGAGCATAATTAAAGTGTTGATTTATATAGGATTTATGGGAATAAAAGTATAAAAATTTACGTTTGAGTATTAAAATTCAATTTCGACTGACGATGACAATTATGTAAATAGGTCACCATATTGTTCGCGGGAGTGTAGAAAATAATGTTCATTGCGAAATAGTTTTGTTTTGATTACATGCAGTAAAGCTGGGTTCAGATTCAGGCTAGTGTTGGGAAATTTTCCGGTTTAATTTGCAACAGCTTTATTGCTTGAACATAATGATTGTACGTGTTAACAACTTGGCGTACTCGTGGCCTGACCACACTGCAGGTTTAAATTGAAATAACGTTTTTGGGAAAGAATGGCTGTTGATCATTGTGTAGTTGTTTGCAGACATTTTTAGTTGTCGACAATGTTGAATGTATCTATTTGTGTTTGTTGACAATTCAAACAAATGGGTGTGAATGGAAGGTGTTTATTGACACTGTAAAGCGTGGCCTATACATGGAAAGTGATTGTTGACATTTTAATCTGTTGATTATATATCGAAGGTCATTGTTGACATTTTAAGTTATTGACTACACACGGAAGGTTATTGTTGACATTTTGAACTGTTGATTATATATCGAAGGTGATTATATATCGAAGGTGATTGTGAACATTTTGAACTGTTGACTACACACGGAAGATGATTGTTGACATTTGAACTGTTGATTATATATCGCAGGTGATTGTCGACATTCTAAACTGTTCGCTATATATCTAATATCTCGGTTTGTTTTGGACATTCTAAGTGTTGACTGCATATCGAAACTCTGAAACACCAACACAAAGGTAAGAAAAATGAGTGGAGTTGGTTCTGGAAAACAGTTTATTGTAGAACGCCTACACGCCAGTTCCCCAACAATATAATAACATATGGTGGTTTGGGTTATGTGAAGGTTGAATGTGTTGACCTTGATCTTTATAAATACACACGAGGGGTAATATAGTATCTTTAACCTTTATAGTCTTAGATATTAAACCAATCATTGATGTAAGGAAGAGCCGTTAGTTTATTACATTGACATTTATAAAGTCCAAGACCAGCCAGCATCATCAGCGTCATCAGCAGTTGAAATACGGTGACAACTGCGTGCATTTCTACCAATATAATTAACACAACTGAATCGTCCATGTTGGTGAGTAAGGCGGGGAGCTGTCAACGTCACAACTGGATCCGATATCTTTGTGATGTTTTAGAACATGCACAGCTGTGTTTGTGACTTATAAGTAACAAGTCACATCAAAACGCTTTCCGAAATATTTAGTAACACTATATAAACATTGTTTTCAGGAAAATCATCCGTAAGTACAAGGTGTGTACTTTCTTTTGTACGTCAGTTTATTTTGTAATACTTTGTACCTCTGGTGTAATGTGGTATTACTACCGACACACAGTCTACACTGTGGTCTACACTATACTCATGTCACATTGAGACCTGGATAAGCTAGCAACATACAATCTATGGTCTACACCACACCCATGTCACATTGACACCTTGATAAGCTAGCAACATACAGTCTATGGTCTACACTACACCCATGTCACATTGACACCTTGATAAGCTAGCAACATACAGTCTATGGTCTACACTGCACTTATGTCACCTTGAGACCTTGATAAGCTAGCATCATACAGTCTATGGTCTACACTGCACCCATGTCACATTGACACCTTGATAAGCTAGCATCATACAGTCTATGGTCTACACTGCATCCATGTCACATTGACACCTTGATAAGCTAGCAACATACAGTCTATGGTCTACACCACACCCATGTCACATTGACACCTTGATAAGCTAGCATCATACAGTCTATGGTCTACACCACATCCATGTCACATTGACACCTTGATAAGCTAGCATCATACAGTCTATGGTCTACACTACACCCATGTCACATTGACACCTGGATAAGCTAGCAACATACAGTCTATGGTCTATGGTCTGCACACCTTGAGACCTGGAAAGCTAGCCATGCATTGAGTCCATGTCACATTGACACCTTGATAAGCTAGCAACATACAGTCTATGGTCTACACCACACCCATGTCACATTGACACCTTGATAAGCTAGC